CGGACTCGATCGTCCACCGCGCCCGCCTCACGCCCTCCTTCCAGCGCCCACCTCCCGGGCCCCTCTCGGTAACGACGTGCCCCTCGTCGCCGCTCCCCATGCTGCTCACGTCGGCCTCGCACAGCCCGGCGGCGACGAGGAAAGCGGCCGTGTTCATCAGCACGAACTCGAGGATGGGGTCGTCGGCGGGCACCTCGTTCTGCAGGATCCTGCGCAGGATCTCGGCGTTCTCGTGGGGCTCGCGGCCGGGGCTGACGGTGCTCAGGGGGTGCGCGCTTAGGCCGAAGTCGGCGGGCTCGAGGGCGAAGTGCTCGACGTCGACGCGGCGGCCGGCGGCGTGCTCGACCAGCTGCCAGCAGTCGGTGGGCCCGGCGCACGACACCTCGTCCAGCTGCTCCCGGCCGCACACGACCAGCCCCTTGTTGGCGCCGGCGAGGCGCAGGGCCTCGGCGAACACGGGGCCCAGGTCGGTGCGGGCGACGCCCAGCATGCGCGCCTCGACGGCGTCGCCCAGCGGGTTGCTCAGCGGGCCCAGCAGGTTGAAGATGGTGCGCCACCCGAGCTCCTTCCGCACGGCGGCCACGTGCTTCATGCCCGGGTGGAAGACGGGCGCGAACAGGAAGGCGTAGTTGGTCCGGGCGTAGACGGCGCCGAGGGTGGCGGGCGTGATGCGGCCCAGCTGCGCGGGCGTCGGCGCCATGTTCATGAGCAGGTCGGCGGACCCGGACTTGGACGTGGAGGCGCGGTTGCCGTGCTTGGCGAGCAGCAGCAGCGACGAGGCCAGGATGGACGAGGTGGTGGAGATGTTGAAGGTGTTGTGCGCGTCGCCGCCGGTGCCGACGATGTCGCAGAGACCCCCCGCGTACTTGCCCTCGGGCCGCTTCCGCTTCCCGATGACGGCTTCGAGGGACGGGAAGTCGATGGCGGCGGCGTGGCGGCGCATGGCGGCCGAGGCTTCGGCCAGCACGTCGGCGCGCCGGTCCCAGCCCGTGAAGTGCAGGGCGGTCAGCAGCGACGTGGTCTGCACGGGGCTCAGCTGGTTGACGAAGATGAGCGACAGCGCGTCGGCGATCTCTTTGGCGGTTACGTTGGCCTTGGCTGGGTCGGGCCAGAGGCGCTGCAGAAGCGGCCGGATGTCTACGGTATCTGCCATTGTCTCTGTCTGGCTGGGGTTTTGAGCTCTTCCAAGCTTAAGCCTTAAGCAAACAAAGCTGCCTTACTCTTAGATAGCTTGGGTATTTGGAGGGGAGCTTTCTGGTAGCTCAATTCAACTCAACACGACACAGCTCAAACTCAGACTTGGATTTATAGTGGTTAGAAACTGCTGACATGGACGACAGACGAGAAGCTCTGGAAAGGACCAGCTGTCCTGTTCGTCTACGGCGCAGTCTCTACAGTGATTCAGTCCCTTACGAGGTCATGTACCGGCATAATGTTTAGCGGAGGATTGTCAGATTTACATAGCATCTAGTAATACTATGTAGTACAGGCCCCGCCATTGACCGATGGCGGGGCTAAGACTACATCCTAGGAGGGGGGATCCTTACCTGATCCCTGCTAAGCCTTCCACCCCTGATGCAAACGTCAGGGATATGCTGGCCGTGCAAATACAGCAACTTCACAGGAGCCGCACTGTAACTTATGAGAGGTGCTTACCCCATATCATGTGACAGCGAAGTTCAATTGGGGCAGCTTGTAGACCCACTTTATCAAGCATAAGCACGGGCCTCTACATTTGAAAATCAATTGGCCGAAGTAAAAGTTGAAGCTCTCACCAATCTTCAATTTTCAGAGGAAGCGAAGAACGGAAAAGGAAGGACAGCACAAGATCTTAGCGACTACGCAGCCAGGGCTATTCGAGGCGGAACATACTGGTGCAAAATAATAGGTGCTATCCGATACTACCACTAGACATGCCACCACGAATAAATTGCTCGGCGCGGAGTAGCGTTGGTAGAGCGTTGCAAAGAATGACCACGACGAGCTCTCAAAGACCTACAGTCACTCTACTCCAAAGCTCGAAGACGGCGTGCAGAAGGAGTTATGCGAGCGCATCCGTATCTCCGATACCCTTAGGGACATTGAGATTACCAGACGATTATATACCGCCCACGCAACCACCCAGCGCACGACGACCAGACCAGCGAAAGTCCCAGCTCCTCCGATCCTACACGGCCCTACTACGCGCGACACCCCTGATCCTGTTCTTCCAGCACAACAACCTCACCGCCGTAGAATGGGCCGCCATCCGACGTGAGCTGCGGGAGGCCCTTTCCAAAGTACCCGCGCCCGTCGTCGTCGACCCCAGCGGCGACCTGCCACCGCCCATAGACATCTCGTCGAGCATCGAGCTGCAGGTACTGCGCACGCGCATCTTCACCATGGCCTTCAAGATCGTCGAGTTCTTCTCGGGCGAGGCGCAGGCGGGCCGGTCCAACGCGTACCAGCACGACCTGTCGTCCACGGCGTACGAGACCATCTCGCAGGCCGCCGTCGACGACACCACCACGGCGTACGGCCAGATCAGCCCGCTGCTGGTCGGTCCCGTGGCCGCCGTCACCTTCCCCGCCGTGTCCCCGGCCCACCTGGCCGCCGTGCTCTCGGTGCTGGCGCCCTCGCCGCCCGCCTTCCCCGCCCCGTCCCGCCGCAAGAACCCCGGGTACTACGACCTCACCGCCCAGAGCGGCCTGCACAAGCTGATCCTCGTGGGCGGCCGCGTCGAGGGCCGCGTCTTCGACCACGAGGGCGTCCGCTGGGTCGGCGGCATCGCGGGTGGTGTCGAAGGTCTCCGCGCCCAGCTCGTGAGCATGCTGCAGAGCGCGGGTCTGGGGCTGACGACGGCGCTGGAGGGCCACGGCAAGGGCTTATGGCTCGCGCTGGAGGGACGGCGCACGCAGCTCGAGGAGGAAGAGAGTGGGGTTGCGAAAAAGGAGAAGGAGGGAGAGGAGACGAGCGCATAGGATGTATGTATGTGCGGTGGGGGTGGGTAGACGTGTATAATCACCGTTAGATGTGTATCAAAGTATATCAGCATTTTGAATCAGGTCTACGCAGCTTCGGGCTGCTGTATACATATTTATATTCGTATATCTGTCTTGAGTTCTGCTGTGATATGTTATTCGTTAAAGCTACCTCTACGGAAAATAGGGTCGTTGCATCTTTGCTTCCTCAGTTTTTTGGTGTCCACGGTGCTATAGGTATTATAATTTCCCTATCCTTGAGCCAAAATTAGCTTAGGAGAGCAGAGTCTATAGACAGAATGAGCATTGAAGTAAATCATAAGAGGAAGGACGAGAGGTAGATACCCCTATATAGGCATACTAATAAATATGCATGATATGATGTTGCATATCTCTCTAAAAGGTGGACCCTTAGCTCTGGTGCCCCTGTAAGGTTAGCTGCCTGTCGCATCGCGTTCCACCGTCTTGGTACAACACCGCGCACTCTATTTTTATAACCGACAAAAACGTCATCTTCAGCATTAAGTTCCGTATCTTCTCACCACCTTTTCACCTTTTCGACAAACGACATCTACATCTATTCTGCTCCATCTGGTCCATTTGAGAGGGAAAAAAAGAAAAAAAGAAGAAAAGAAAAAGAAGGGACGAGAAGGGAAGATGGACTTCGCGCCGTACCAGTCCTCCCCGCCGGAGAACAACCGTCCCTGGTCCCCGGGACACTCCAACGTCGCATCGCCGCGCGCCTCGCTCGACAACAACAGACCGCAACAACAACGAGCCGGTGGCGGCTTCGCGTCCCCGCCGCCCCTCCAGCATCCTCAGCCCCAGCGTAACTGGCAGTCGGCGCTTCCTAGCGGTGTCGGTGGTGGCTTAGGAGGTTATGCGTCCGAAGCTGGAGTGGGAGTGGGAGCTGGAGCTGGAGCGGCGGGAGGAGGAGCGTACGTCAGCGAGTTCGACACGAGTCTGGGCATACGGCTGGACTACGAGGCGTGCCTGGCGTATGTGGGACTGCCCCCGCTGGGCGCGATTATCCTGCTGATTCTGGAGAGGAAGAGCGATTTCGTGAGGTAGGTTTATTCTCGTGTTCCTTACATCAGGTTGATGGAGAAAGAGATGTTTTGAGATATTGCAACAAAGAGCTCTACTAGGAATTATATGGTGAAATACGGATCTTCGTGACCGTGAAGGGAATAAACTTCTTCGGTCTACAGATGCTAACGTCCTCCAGATTCCACGCGTGGCAGTCCAGTCTCCTATTCACCGTCGTCTTCATCCTCCACCTGATCTTCTCGTGGTCCACCTTCCTCAGCTGGGTCCTCTTCCTCGCCGATCTATGCCTGATGGGATGGCTAGCTCTGCGCGCGTATCGAGATGCGGATACGCTAGACAGGTAAGAAATTCAACCGCTTTTCTTAGGAGAGACGTGGGCTTACCTAACATATGACAGATTCGAAGTCCCCGTGTTTGGCCAAATAGCAAGTCGAATACTAGACGACGAGTAGAACCCGCGCTTCGACGCTGGTTTGGTCCGAGTTAGAGAGAGAGAGACGAGCTGAGAAAAGTCGTCTGGCTGTATCATATCGGTTGCTGCTGTTCATGTACATATACCCCGAGTGCCCGAGGTTGGGCCTCTGTTCTGTTACCGACTAATACTATCTGTACTCCTCGACCCAGGTCAGCACATCCTATTTCTTGTGTTGGGCCGGCCACACGGCGTTGATTCACATGCTCTGCTACAGCATATGGAAAGCTGTTATTATGATGGTGGGGAGGGTCCGAATTCATTTCCCCTGTGGAAATTCTAGCAACTTACCTAAATGCCTTATCTACGTGTGAAAAGGTCTTCTCCTCACCAAAGCCACCAACTTTCGCTGACAAGATTGTGATACATTATTTGCTATCATTTCCCCTAAGATCTAGATACGCAGCTCTCAGGTCATCCTAGTGTAGACATCGACTAATCACTCTAGGTAACCATCTTATTCTGGGCACGTAGAACAAAGGGGGATTTGCATAAGAAAGGAACGGTGTCCAAAAAGTAATCCCGACGGGGAATCGAACCCCAGCCTCGGGCGTGGCATACCCGCATTCTACCATTGAACTAATCGAGATATACTACGGGATGAGCATAGGCAACGTGTTAGCAATTTAAACCTAAGATGGGTTATAGCCTTTACAGCTACTTCATATTGTTGGAAAATATTGGTCTTAGGACCTACCTTACTCAAAGATGTTTGTGTAGAATCAGCTAGCAAACATAGGTATGTTATCTTAGGCAGGCAAGTAATAACAGTCTACCCTAATTTCGTTATTACTAAACGCCGATTCTAGGAATTAATACAGAGAGCCAATCTCAAACTTCTTAATTGATTCACTTGGTAGGATGAGGTGGTACAATTCATTCGCCGGCTGTCAAATTTGTCTTTCCGAACAGGTAGATAGTCATCTATCTGCAAGGGGGGCACACCGCATAGCTAGTATTCCAAGGTGTCGGGTAAGAGATGTTGATGGTATACGGTTGCCTACGCTAGTAGCATTCCTGTATCCATTGTCTCACTTCTCCCTCCCAGTCGTTCTTATACCGTCTTCATCTCTCACGAACCCTAGGGGAGACTCTAGGCACTGGATTCATTCAATACCAAGAATTGGTTGAAAGAATGCATGAAATACAAGGCAAAGCTGGACTTCAGGAAGTATCCGCCGCTCCTATCGAGAAGGCTGACCAGGGGATACGCCATGAATTACTTCCGATCACCAACCTAGATGAGGCCATCGTCGGCTGGGAAAGTCAAGATGATCCCGAGATGCCTTTGAATTTCTCAGCACGGCGCAAGTGGGTGTGAATCGGCCTCCTCTCAATCATTACGCTTCTGACCCCATTCGCATCCTCCATTCTCTCCCCAGCTATTACTACGTTGGATGCAGAGTTCAAAAACGATAACGCTATTATCGGCTCTATGACGGTGAGCATATACTTGCTAGGCTATGTCGTTGGCCCGGTGTTCATAGCTCCCCTTTCTGAGATGTACGGGCGTAAGCCGGTCTTGACCGTGGCCAACGTATTTTTCTGCCTTTGGCAGATCGGCTGTGCTTTGGCTCCTAACATCGAGACGCTCATTGTATCTCGCTTCTTCAGCGGCGTCGGTGGTGCTGGCTGCTTGGTAAGCAAGCTCCGTCATATTGGAAGCTGTTCTCATCGTCCACTAATACAGCCCTAGACTCTCGGGGGTAGCATCATTGGCGATCTATTCCGCCCGGACCAACGTGGGTTCGCAATGGGAATGTGTAATATTGGGCCTCTGATTGGTAAGTCGTTACCTTGCCCCAATGTCATATGATGACATGGCATGTCGAGTCAAGAGGATATTGCTAATAATTCCGAAGGCCCTACTATTGGTCCTCTCCTTGGTGGCTTCATAGCCAAGTCTATTGGTTGGCGTTTCGACTTTTGGATTGTACTTGCTGTTTCCACCGCCGTCACAGCATTCATTGGAATACTCAATGAAGAGACTAGTCATAAGGTCATCATCCAACGAAAAACTGTCCGCCTTCAGAAAGAGCTTCGCCGGGATGACCTAAAAAGCTGCTATAATGATTCAAGTGACCGAAGCAAGAAACAAGTCTTGATCAACAGTTTAATTAGACCCCTCAAGATGCTAGTCTTGTCTCCTCTCGTGTTTTTCCTTTCCCTGTATATCGCTTTCGTGTATGGGGTGGTCTACCTCCTCTACACGACTATTCCCACAGTCTTTGAGGAGACGTACGGATTCGACGCCAGTTTTACGGGGCTTGTGTATCTCACCCTAGGGTTAGGCAATATCCTTGGATGGCTAGTCGTCACCCTCCTTTCGGACAAGACTGTCGTGAAACTTGCACAAGCTAATAACGGTGTTTTCGAGCCAGAGATGCGCCTTGCTATATGTATATCCTTTGGGGCTTTTCTTCCCGTCACCTTATTCTGGTACGGTTGGAGCACGTTCTATGTCAACTATTGGGTTTCCCCTATTTTATCACTGATACCGTACGGTTTCGGAATCATGGGAGTTTTCCTGTCCATTACCACGTACCTTGTGGACAGCTACCCTATGTACGCGGCGTCGGCGGTGGCTGCAAACATCATTTTGAGGAGTACTGTAGGAGCTCTGCTTCCGTTGGCTGGACCACCCATGTATGCATCTTTGGGTCTAGGTTGGGGGAATTCCCTGCTGGGTTTCATTTGCATTGCCATGATCCCGTTGCCAATCATCTTCTATAAATTCGGGGCTCGACTAAGGCACTCCGAACATTTACAGTTGTAAATGGAAGTTAGTAGAAATAGTCAAACTTGACGCAAATCCCCTTAACACATAAAAGAGAAGAGGCTTGTTACTTCAATAGTCGTGTATCTCAATAGTATGCCTACATAGGTACCTAGGCATAGCCATCTTGTAAATTACATCCCGCCAGTTTATCTATAGCGCTTAATTACGGCACTGTGTAGGTAGGCAGCACAAGTGGCTGCTTTGCATAGGGGCAACTTTGTGGTGCCAAGAGTAAGTTTACGCCAGTTTTAGGGTCGATATCCCAATCATGTCACAGATTGTGCGCCACGTTTAGAATAAGACACCCGAAAATTTGACCGACGTGATACCTCAAGGCTCAAAAGGCTCACACAAGCGGTGATGATTCGTCAGAGCTATCTATATCTGAATGAGGAGGCACAGTCATGTTTCGTTTTCAGCCACCATCTAGAAGAGACCAAGTCACTGCACAATATTCCGCCGTCGATGTTGCCACCTTACAACCTACATACAAAACAGACAAGCAACCGCTGACCCAATATTACCATCGAGCAGGAAACCAAGCAAAGTACTTCATCGTTAGTATGGATGGTCAATCGCCTTGGGAGGCGCCCAGGTATACAAGACTTGACGACGTTACTCATGGTTACCAAGAAACGGAACTACAAGAGCTTCGGCCGCCTACACCAACACATCATAATTATATGCCACCCCTAGACCAAGCAAGTTATCATTGGGATACCTTAACAGAAACCTCGAACCAAACTCCCATCTACGAACAAGTGCCCGCTTCGGAGTACCAGCAACCAGATCGCAGCAAAACAACAAGACTTAACAAGATATGGCGGTGGCGCAATCCGTGGAAAATTGAAATGCTACAGCTCTTCCTTGGCCTATTAGTCCTGATCGCCATTGCTGTTCTCCTGAAGGAATATGACGATCAACAGCAGCCCGAATGGCTCCACAGTTTTGGTTTGAGTTCTCTTGTTGCAGTTCTCAGTACGGTGTTTAGGGGAACGATTATAGCGGTTGTAGATGAAGGTACGGCGATCACTAGGTTTATATATAAATGGATACTCAAGCTAACAATGTTGAATGTAATAGTGATAAGCCAATTGAAGTGGTCTTGGTTCCGCGAACCTCGCCCTCTAATTCATCTATCAATATTCGATCAAGCTACACGAGGGCCATGGGGCTCCCTTGGTTTTCTCTTCAAGATCCCTAGGCCGTAAGTATAGTCATCAATTTTCCTTCGCTATGCTGAAACCTCGTTAGCAATCTTTCGACCATCGGTGCTCTGATTACAATTATCTCTCTGGCAACTAGCGCTTTCAGTCAGCAAGCCGTACGGTCTGTGCCGTGTTCGAAGCCGGTGCCAAATATCCCGGCTTCTGTACCGCTGGCCCAGACAGTGAATAACAACAGCGTGCTTTTCTCAATCTATCCGGATGACATCAGCCGGCCGGGATACGGGGACATTGCTTTCCTCGACAGGGAAATGAAGGCTGCCCTCGTTAGCGGTATTAGCCAACCTAACACAATTGCAACACTTCCAACTGTGTGTGATACGGGGAATTGTACATTCACCACGGGAAGGAACCTTTCTTATTCTACCCTAGGTGCTAGCAGCAGATGTATCGATGTCTCGTCTAAAATCATACAACTTGATTATAATAGCACAAATTTCAATTATACGGAATACAGATTACCAGGTGGTCTATCGGTAACCTACTGCGATGGCTGTTATGTAATGACCGAGGTCACTCTACCTAATGGCACACGGACGTTCGTGGAAATCCCTGGTACCTGGTCTACATTGTTCAACGCAACGGTTGATCAATCTGATCAAGAACACCAAGATTACAAAGATATATCTATTGCAGGGGTAAACATATCCAATGCTGGTGCAGGATTTCTGCCTTCTTTTGGTCGCGTAACAATGATGATGCCCACAAATCGAAGGTGTCAGTCCATTCGCCAACAAAACGATATAAACCCCCAGCCCAGTTGCGACCAGCCTACGCTCAACATTACCTCCTTGCCTGAAGACTTTGGGCTCCTGGCGGCTGTCTGCTGGCTTTATCCAAGCATTATCGACTTTTGGGGGGAGATTGTTAACGGTCAACTCATCGAAACGCAGGTTGCCGAACCTACGCCCTTAGCCTTGAGTTCGCCGGACGATATGGCCTCGCTAGCACAGGCGTGGGTTTACAAATTCCAAGACCCTTGCTACATCAATGGGAGCCTATATGACATCGCAAATCGCAACTCGTGGCCCGACAAAGCAGCCGAGACAATTGATATTACTGATATGCTTAGCAACGCCACGGCTACTGGTCCAAGAAAATGTCTTTACGGCCTTGGTTCGGAGTACCATTTAGGAATGTTCCAATTGTTCCAACAGGTATTTACCGAAGACCAATGCGTCCCCACAGTGAACTATGAGACTATCATGTGTGAATCGTGGTGGCTAGGCAGTTTCTGGAATGGTCGAAATGCGACGCTGGGAAGCATCAATTCCGTGATGGAAGGCGCCGCAAAAGCTCTAACGAATCGTATTCGTACTATAGGAGAGGACTTCGACCATATCTCCACTAAGGCAGATGGCATGGCGATGCAAACCTATGTTTGTACGAGCTTTAGTTGGCCATGGCTACTCTTTCCGGCCGCAATACTTTTAGGAACCACTACACTATTGATAGCTACGCTCGTCAAAGGTTTCACAGAGGGTAGTAATTCACCATCTTGGAAGTCGAGCTTATTACCGCTACTGTTCTACGGACTCGACGAGCGGTCTAAATGCGAGAACCTGATGGAGTCTGCGCAATTGAA